GATTCACTTCACAATATTCAGAAACTCTTAATACTCTTATTTCAAAGAACATAACAACTAAAGAAAAGAGGTAGCACCAAGCTTACCCCGGCTCACGACTCTCACAGTAATGGCGGTTTCTTCCTCTCTCTCATCCTCCTTATCCTACCAGAAGATACCAACTGCTACATCTCTAATGAAAACTGCTTTTCCTAACTATTCATCCATTTTAACTACTGAACTACCTTTCTAACAGTCATCTATCCCTATTTACACTATAAACTAAGTATCTACAAATCAGCAAATAACTACTTATTCTACAGAGCCTTATTAAGAGACGTCTTTTCTTGGAAGAGTGCAATGTCTGCCACGTAGTATTGAGATCGAGAACCATGAGGAATACGAGGTTGAAAAGGTGTGGATTCATGACAAAGGTGGGGTAAGTTGGAATATCTTGTTCATTGGTGCGGCTACGACATTAATGAGCGAATGTGGAATCCAGCTGAAAATCTCGACAATGCGCCACAAAAGATAGAAGAGTTTCATCAACAACATCTTCATAAACCTAAGTCGGTTTGATGATAGCTTCTTTTTGAAGCTTGCTCACCCAAGAATATAAGAAAGGGAGAGAGCACCACCAAAATTCGTAGTTGATGTAGTTATTTTCTCCAAGATAAAATAGAATTTTTTCAGTAGCCATAGTTTGGTCTTCTGATATGGATAGCCAAGAGATAGATACTATGCTAGTCAGATTATCTCAATCGACTAGTTCACAAAGGCGACCTCGAGATGATGAACTGGCTAAACCATGACAACGACGGAGGATACCAAGTAACCTATCATTGGTGATTATATTTTAGTCCTAGCCTGCTTACGATGATCAGCCAAAAGGCGCGTTTGTAGGATAATTTCACAATAAGGACACGGAAGTTCATGTTTGGTCAGAAGTTGAAGGAGTGGGCTACTTCCGTTGGCTTCAAGGGCCGATGAACCACTTGCCTTGTGAACAACAGTTGGAGTTCATAGTAGACGTTATGCAATAGATCTTCATTTTCTTGTGTTGGTACTAATTAACAACGACATTGCTTCTCAGAGACCTCAAAGCTAAAGGAGGGGGTGATGTTAGGAACATAGTCCTTGGAACCTTCTAGAGACAAGTTTCTAGAACCTTCTAGAAGCAAGTCTCTGGAACCTTCTAAAAGCTTCTTAGTTAGTAGAAGATGTTAGGGACATATTCCTTAGAACCTTCTAGAGATAAGTTTCTAGAACCTTCTAGAAGCTTCCTAGTTGGTAGAAGTTGCTTGACAAGCTTCCTAAATAGGAGTATATATTGGAATTAAGGCTGAAGAGTTCTTCAGTCTCGACAACACATCTTTTGGAGCTCTAGCTCACCTCTCTGGTATTGTTCTTGTATTCATTTGATTAATCTAGTTCTTGCCAGTTCTTCTTGAACTTCTTGTTAGATCTCGAGTCTGTATTTCTGTATCCGTGACAAATCGTTGTTGAAGTTGTTATTGTTATTATTGAATCTTGGTTGTATTAATAATAATATTAGAGCACTATAAAAGACTTAAAGTAATACATTGATCTAAAAGTTTCCATTTTTTTGTTTTGCAAGTCTTTTGTGGTCAATTATATATGTAATGTTGATATAAAGCCAGGAATTTATACATCCTACTTGAAAATCTTCAATGTATATATAGAAGTTAAAAAATAACTTTATTTACCAGTAGCTTAGAAGAGGCCTAGATAAATATTTATATTTTACTACATCCATAACAAATAAGTTAAGATATTATATCAATTGTGAACATTTGTCAAGATTATGAATCACAAAGAATAAAAAATTCAATACAGTTTTGTGTCACTTAAAAGAATAAATATTCATTCAAAAACTAGAATGGTTTTTGCCAAAAATAAGTAGACCAAAGACTCTTGAAACATGATTAAGAACAAGAAGGACATTGATAAGTATGAAGAAGGCTATGATAAGATTTGATATTATTATTAATATCTTCATTTGTACAAAAAAGCCTTTTCAATTCTACTAACCAAATATCTATTCCTAATTGTTTTTAAAAGAATTAAGAAAACCAATAAATCCAATATTATATTAATAAAATAAATAAAATAAAATAAATTCTAAACAAACTTATTGAAATCCAGAATTTATATGAAAAATTCAAAAAAATTCATGAATTTGATTTTTTTTAAGTACTTTTTTTATATAGCAGACTTTGTATTTAATGAAGGCTCTAGCAATTTCATCTTTTTTATAAATAATTTATTTCTCTTAATATCTAGATAATTTATTTTCATATATATTATTTAATATATTTCATGATAGTTGTTTTATTTTAAAAAATGATAAATTTTTTATTTATTTTATATAAATAAGATTATTTTAGCTTTTTAAACTATTGAAAGTACAAAAATATATAAATATATCAAGCCACACATGTGTACATGTAAAAAATATATATAATAATTTTTTTAAATCATATATATAATATTTTATTTAATTACAATATTTAAAATGAATAAAAATAGTATTTATATCAAATTATTAGTGTTTGCTTAATTTTTTGATTTACTTGTGAGGTTGATCTATTTGCTTCTCTCAACTACACAATTTATTAGCATAGATATTGGACCATATTATTGACTTCTTTTATATGTGTGGGAATAATACTTCTATTGTTGTAATTGATAATGTGTAAAATTTCTATACTAAAAGTATTGATAAACTCATGAAGATCTACAATAATTACAAATTCATTATTACTTCTATCAAATATAACATCTATATTTATTTTCCTTCTATCTCTATAATAGACAACTTTAACAAGTCTATAAGTTAAATTAGAGGAGGATAATCTAGAGCCTCTAATATCAAATAAAAACTTCCATAAGAATAAATTATTTATTTATTTATTTATAAATAATTAATATTAATATTAAATATATATATATATTAAGATAGATGGTTTATAACCATTAAAATTCAATAATAAATAGAAAGTCAATCTACTTAATTTTGAAACAAAAAATACAAAAAATTAATATACTTGTCAAATTGTTAAGCATATAAATCATAAAAAAAAAAAACTCTAAAGAAATATTATAATTTAATAACACTCAAAGAGGAAAATAAACAAGATAAGAATAGATAAAAGATAAAAATTAGAAAAACTATTGCTAAATACAATGAGATTAGAGATTCTTGAACTAAGACAAGAATATAAAAAAGACATTGATAAGAGTGAAAAAAATCTAACTTTTGCCTCCATATATATTATGTAACTAAAGAGATAGATGTTGGCATTTTATAAGACAATTAATATATGTCCAACTTACAATATATGTGTCTAATTTGCAAAATAATTTTCTGACGTGTACACCACATGATTGACTTATATTATAAGTAATTATGTAAAATATGTAGCCAACTTGTAAAATAAGTGGTAAACATGTGCAATACATGGCCAACTTGTTGGCTAAGTTTTCAACCTACTAATTACATACAAATATTTGTGAAGTCAAACTTACAACTATAAAGCTTTTAAGAAGCTACTCTACAAGATGTTATCAAATTAGCATATTTTTACCTACATCTAGATGATGCTTCTTATCTTAATAAGTATTAATATTGATATGTATATTTGAAACATGCACCACCTTCAAATATGATCTAAAAAATATTTAAAAACATTACTTTCTAATGTATATTTCAAATACAAGAATTTGTTAACAATTTCTAAAAACTTTAATCATATAAATCTATTGTTTTTTTAATTATTAACTTCAAAAAAAATTATAGCTCGTGATTTAAAAATTATTTATTTATTAACATATATTTGTTTAACAAAATTAATATGAAATTAATGATAAATTTTTAGAACTCTTTTTAGAAGTATTTATTTTGTGACAAAAAAAAGCTCAAAAATGATATTCTACTTAAATTCTAATTAAACTAATATTTTTTTAATTACTTTCAAAAAAAGTAGTTTTTTTTATTTTTCAATCAATCATGTTTTTATATTTGCAAGCAAAAAATTAAGCTATTTCTTTGCTTCTTATTCTTTTTATATTGAAATTTCAATAAAATTCTTATATAATTGATTTATATTGTTAAGTATCTTCAAAGTTAAGAATTTGATTAATTCTTATTTAAAATATGCAAGTTTTATCTACTATGCAATGAATACCCTTTTATTTTTATAACTTTTTTATTTTTACATATTATGTAAATTACACCTTTATATATTATGTAAATTCACACACACACACACACACACACACACATATATCTATATATATATATATATATATATATAATATTAAGTCAACTTATTTAAATCTAAATATTCAAAATCTTGAAAAGAGATTCTGAAAACAATAATATATAGAATTTTATTAAAGAGTAACATTTTACAATTTAAAATTCTAAAAAAATATTTTAATAGAAATAAATAAATATATTTTTAAATTTAAATAAAAATATCTAAAATAAAAAAAATTATAGACATTTCTACTATATTAAAAATCCATTTTACATTAATTCTAACAATACATTGATTATGTACATAAATATAACACATTCTTCTTTATTACCATCTAAATCTTGATCGTCTAACAAGTGATCCTTGGAACATTCTCAACTTCAATCACATCATCTTCAAAGATTAACTTTCACAAGCTCGGACTTCAACAAAAAAGGACTCTTGCTCCTTAAATATATGTGTTACTACTGCACCTTCTAAATACAAATATAGTAGAATTATAAAATCTTTCAAAGTAAGCTTTGCTTATAAAACAAACTCATTCATGCAGAGTCTACCAGTATCAAACATGCAAGGATGTGTTGACGTGGAACAAATGAAGCTGTCCTAAAAATCACCTCAAACAAACAAAAATAGTCAGAAATGCTGACACGGACCATCAAAAACAGTGTTTTTTTCTGGACAAGTATGGGCCCCAGAATGGTGAAGAATCCGTCGGCGGCGTACGATCCTGCAATTGTGCGTGCTCACCGGCATCCGCACCCAGCTGCACGGGAATCTCCCGGGATTGGAGCAGCCCCCTTTGCATCGATCAGACCGACTGCGAGGAGGAGACCCAATGCAGCGAGCGTATTCGAATAGTGGGTACATGCGAATCACATCCTGTTGCATGAAAACACTTGGAATCGAAGGCAGATTTCGAAATGCCGTGTGAGAGGAGGTGGCTCTGATGCATTGTGGAATATAATTAGCACCAGACAATGAGTCGCCACATCTGAAAGTTTTTTTTTTTTTTTTTTTTTTTTTCCATCTTACATCGTGGGTTTGCCTAAACCCTGGCCTCACGTGTCGATCGCATTGGCTCATGTCCGCGAAGCCCTAAATCTATCGGAGCTGAGAATCCGCAGAGCTTGCTGTATCCTACTTCTTCAGGGTTTGAGTCTTCCTACGTTCTACCACTTAACAGATTTCTATGAGTGTGTCGACAATTTAGCAAGTAGAAATTTGGATATTAGAGTTGGATTAAGCGAAGTTGAAGAATGAGGGAAGTGGTGACCGTGCAGCTGGGCGGCTTTGCCAACTTTGTGGGTGCTCACTTCTGGAACTTCCAGGTGTGATTCTTGCGGAATTTTCAATTGAGTTTTGCTTAGTTGTAGTCGCGGTTGTCTTAGTTGGAGGAGGTTCAAGGTATTCAAGGTTATGGAGGAAAATGAGCTTTAGTTCGAAAATTGTTGTAAGGTCATGTAGACACCACATGACCATGTTGTCAAACTGCATTCATGCTTGGGGGTGCTTGCTCGGGGTTTTCAATTCCAAACTGCATACTATCTCTGATGGTTTTGGGCTCTTGGAATCTATTAGGACGAAGTTCTTGGATCACTTGAAGATGGAGGCCAGATTGGATTGGATATGGACGTTCTTTATAGAGTTGGTGAAACTCGACAGGTAGTTAAAGTATCTTCTATCCATCCATGCCTCAACTTTGCAGCATCACCTCGTATTCAGTAATCTATACCTGCGCACTGGTGTCTTATCAATCTTGTTTGTGGGTAGGTGGTTCCTTAAAGCATATTATCCGATTGAGGTGATAAGATGCTCTCAATTATGTCTCTTGATTACTTTTCCTACATGTTCTCTTTGTGCAGGGTATAGCAACATATATGCCACGATTGCTTGCACTTGATCTTCGTGGTAAGTGATATCTCAATGATTAGTATTTTGAGATGACTCTTATAATAGATGTTGGCAAGGTTTGAAATTTTTGACGTTTCATAAAACATGCATGGGGGGTGCTTGTAGGAATGCAGCATTTTGCAGCTCCAAGTTGAATAGCATGCAATTATATTATACATTTTGTTTTACAGTGTTGTTGGTACAGGGAGTTTGGGTGCAGTGCGAGCTGCAGGATCTCTGTATGAGTATTCGCCACAGCTTCAGTCCTCTTCTGTTAACACATGGTACATTCGAGACTTTTAAATTTTCCTCTCCTATTATATTATTGATCCTGTGGTTTTAGTAGACGGTTACCAATGTGGTCCTTTTTCTTAGCATCTGATGTAAAGTTACGAACCATGTAGACGAAGGGCCAATTATATCTGCGGTTTAGTTTAGCGTTGTCCATTCCTAAAAAAGCTGTATACGTCTTGTAGCCTTTTCGCGAGTCTTTCGCGGTCTTTAATGTTTCTGCAAAGCTTCATTAGTATTTGGTAGAAACAACTAGGTACTCTCCCCGTTACAAACCAGGGCAAGTGCAATTTAGGCAGTATTTTATCTCGTTAGTGTGTAGGCCTCACCGTGATTTTTGTTTAATATTACAGGACTGGACCGACAGTTGTACATAGACACGAAGCTATTCCGAAGAATGATTTCCTTAAGTACTTGGATGCGGAATCGGAAGGATGGAATGCTGGAGATCACAGCAATCAACCTAGTTTTTCTAGTATCGAGTTCCAATCAACTAATGTTCCTGAGAGTAGCCGGTCAAGGGACATTGCTCCCTCAGAAGAAACCAAAGAGAGGTCCCTGGTAAAATCTTTGGATGGTTCTGTTGAGTTCTGGACAGATTATCTTAAGGCGCATCTACACCCCCGGAGCGTGTATGAGCTACCGAATACTTTTCACGGTGTCACTCCGTTTGATAACTACTCATGTGGTCAAGGCTTTTTTAAGGAGCAAGAGCAGCTTGAGGAAGTGGAGAATCGTTTACGTTTCTTCGTTGAAGAGTGTGACCATCTACAGGTATGCCTCGTTTGGATTATTTAGCCTGAGACCTCGTCTGTTGCTATGTTCTATTTAACGGTTCCTAGGAATGTTATTGCTTGTCTTTTGTATTTAATTGAGTTGCTTAGGGTTCCGTTCTACTTGAGTAATCTATCGCATAAATAATGAACTAGATTTTCTTGGTTTTGGTTAATGATTAAATGCCCTGATAGTCTGGGTATGTTGCTTTGATACGTTACTTCTGCTTTTGCAGGGTTTTCAATTCATGGTTGACAATTCAGGGGGCTTTGCTGCAGTTGCAGCTGATTTTCTGGAAGCCGTGGGGGACGAATACAACCGAACTCCACATTTACTGTTTTCCTTGAGGCCTCCTTGGTCACCTCCATCAGCCAGCCACCGAGATGCAGTTATTGCTAGTCTCCATGAATCGGTCTCTCTTGCTCGCCTGTCCTCTCTTACGAACCTTCTTGTACCAGTTGGTCTTCAGCAGCTTGCATCAAGTAAGTTGTAATGTTCATTTTTCTCTTCTCTTTGACCTGCTATCTTGCTGCCTTCATTCATTATTGAAGTTTTGGATACGCTGAAATTATTGAATTATTGAAGTCATTATTGAAATTATTGAAGTTTTGGATTTTCAACATTGAAATCGTGATTATTTGAGGATTTGGGTTTGCTTTGGGCAACATTTGAGGTATAATCGATATCTGAAGTTGATTTGAAGTAATCTTTGGGTTATTATCTATTTGGAAAATGGCAGGTCAATTTTCAAAGTATACTTGTGTAAATGACTCGAAGATTTTCCATACAAGTGCTCTCTATGCAACAGCGTTAAACACCATCACCCTGCCTTTCCGTATGCAAGTCTCAGGGCCAACTGAGGCCTCTCAACAAAAAGGGGTTGGTAGTAGTGACATGAGCAATACAGTCAGGCTTGTCTCATGCTCCCAGCAGAAAAAAATTGCCCTTCTCGAAGCTGCAGTTCCTGGGCCACCCCTACCTGGTATAGTGTCAGTTACCTTCTACATTTAGTTCTTGTATTCAACTGTTCAATGACTGGTAGTATGGAACCGTAAGGAACACGTAGTTCTTCTTGAGTAGTGTTCAATGCAGTGCAGATACCTCGCTGGATTTAATAACCATTCAAACCTTGAACTTCCCAAACTGTGTCAAGTGTAATTTTGTTAGACAGGTAGAATTTTTCACTTAAACATGAAACATTTATGAAATGTTTATGGGTTGTTTCTTGCAGTAGTTGGAACGCCAGGAGCTTTTGACTTGACGTCACTATCATCCCTGACACCGGACGTGGACCAGTCGTATTTTGGTACCCAAGCTGCAGAAGCACTTGTTATTCAAGGGGCTCGAATATCAGGTGCGATGTTAACACGTTTCTCATGGATAAGTTCTAGGGGGAATGACCTCAAAGTTTGCTCGAACTCTCTAGAATGTTCTTAAAGATAGCTTTCAGTATAACATCATTTCATGGACTTGCACTATTCAGTATGACATGAGGGGGTATTAAGCTCTTTGCACAAACCAATTATGATACTTCAAGTTTGAGCATCACTCTTTCCTGTATTACGTAAAGCAGACGTTCTATCAGCAAGTTGGATTTATGTTGCTTTAACCTTCAATTCAACAATACGGTAGGTGCATTCAGACTGTAAGAAAGACGTGTAAAAAATCATTTTTTGCACAACCTCTATATGGTTCAACATGTGCGTCGAGAAATTTAATTGGGGCACCTTGTGCAGGTGGAGGAGGCTCGGCGTCTGTGGCGCAAGTGCTAGAATGCACTTACACTGGAAAGCCTGCTAATCGAAGAGGAGCAATATCTTACTGTCAACTTTCAGTTTCTCCCAACCCGGTTCCAATTCCCGTACCTTTTCCTTGTATTTTTGGCCCTAACATAAGTGCCAGAGGGGACATATTGCCAAATTCGATAGCATCGGTTGCAGGAAGAGGGGGTCTCGATATTCTGTCTATACCAGTCGCAGCAAGGTTGACAAGCAGGGACTCTCTATTACCGTATGTGAAAGGGCGTCTGATGAGTTTTCGCAAACTGGGACTTTCACGGGCATCAATTGGGGGTGGCGTACTAGAGGACTGGGGTTTTATGAAGGAGGAGGTTCAGGATTTAGCTGAAGTGTTGGGTAACCTAGCTGGTGCCTACAGTGATAGGATGCATGCCAGTTCAACGGATTCTGATTAAGCATACCAATGTTTTCCCAGCTTCAATGATCTCATGGCATCTCCATATAATTAAGGTTGCAGTGAAGTTGCAGTGAAGTTGCAGTGACTACAACTGGCTTAAACGATGATGGTATTTACGCGTACCTTTCAACAGGTAAAGCATGGGAAGCCACTGTATGCGATTTCCGGTTCTCACGACTTCTGAAGAACTGCCAAGTGTGACTTTGAATCTCAATGGGAATCGCATGATATTTTTGGCCCAGTTAATACTCTTCTTTAGTTTTGTGCTGTAACATTTTTGGAAAATAGTTTTCCAGTACCACGAATCAGAACCGACCAAGCAAGCGGTGATCACTACTCTTCAATTTGTCCTAGTAGTGCTCCACTGGAATTTTTGAGTAAGCGAGCGCCATGTGTTTATTTAGTGTGCAGAGAATTCATCTACGTGGTGAAAGCACCCGAACTTTTGTGATAGCTCGATTTTTCACCTTATCTTCATCGAGATGCACTAATACGTTTCTTCTTCGTCCTATTTCTCATTCCTGGTCATTCATCACCGCTTTCGTATAAGCGGAGGCGAATTTTTGGCCATGGCGCAAGCAGTCTTCGCAGGGTCTTAAGGGCCTGACGCTTGGAAGGTGCGCATGTGCCAGTTCGTGTTTATATCAAGTCGTTGGTTTTGATGATTTCATTTCATTTTATTTTTCCAAGCATGCATGCATACATACATACATATATATGTGCACAAAAATAATTTCAGACTTGCAAATCTTATTAGGCTTGGTTGAAGAGAGTTTTTTATGTTGTTTGTGAGAGTTATTGATGAATGCATTTGCTCTGGAAGGTGAGATTCTGAGTTATGCTTCCGTTGTCCGTGGCTAGGGAATGAAGCTACTGTAGTGGAGGGCAGTGTAAATTCTTGAGACCTGGTGTATAATTGTTGGAGTGGCGATCGAGCATAGGACATGATGTTTGTCTCACACAGCAGTCCGTGCACCTTACCCACTTCATTACATCATTAGCAAAGATAACGTCTAACACATACAACTAAGATAATTTTACCTTGTACTACTTGTGCATGTTTGTTTGGCTTAGCACAAGTAATCAATACATTTTTTGTGGAAATAGATGTGCAGAGAAAGATTTTTGGATAGAAAGATTTCTTGTTTTATGTACTAAGTTTTCAATACCATGTATGTGTTGTGTATAAAACATGAGCATTTATCACATGTGATACTTTGGTAAGATTTTTGGTTTTTGTAGTACTCTTACTAAGGTTAATCTAACATTTACACACAGCCCACTGGTTCCAATAGCATGGTACTCATGCATTCATTTGACTTTGGAACCCATAGTGCCTTTGCTTTTGTAACTCACACTAACATTATAAATGGCATTATTGGGAATTTGGTCATTCTCGATAAATGAGCGATAATTTCTTCAACCGCCATTCAGAGACCACAAAGTTGTGCCCAGAAAGCAGAAGCGATTGTTAAGTGACCAAACTGTATGTCAAATCATGACATGTAACTTTTGTTCACAAACATAGGTGTCCCCATATGAGTCACCTCCCTTTTTACTGTCCATTGTGGAAACTGTAACTGCAGATATTTGACACTATTAGCGTGGATGCAGTCTAAGATTGCCAATGAAAGATTGAAGGGACACCTTGCCAATGGATTCTACAGGATTTCTTCGCACATCAGTACCATGCATTTGCAATTGTGAATCTGGACGGAGAGAAGAGGAACAGAGCAATTTGATTCCTGAAACATCTCGCCATTGAGAAAAAATTGGTGCAGCTGTCGGAACATTTCCCTTTCAGACGGATGGATTTCACATGGTAAAAACTTTGTTCCTCAGGTTCCATACCAGGTGAACGTCAAAGAAGCACATGTTTCGACCCCCTTGGAAACAGAACGTGGTTAATTCCACACATGATCTCCTGGGAATCAGCATGCTGTGGTGAATGATGCAACGCTTCACTGAAGACACTGCAGATGTTCCGGGCATGAAAGGGATCTACAAGTGGATGAAGTAGATGGAGAGCGTTTATGCTTGTGTCTGATGAACGGGTATGAGGCGGTTTGGGAGTCATCTGAAGAGGCGGCGGTGGCCCCGCGGCTTTGACAACTAACTCCATCTTCTGCAGCCTGGCCTTCTTCTCACTCTCAAACTCACCCTCATCCTCTCTATCTCGCTGCTCCAGTGTCAATTCCACTCCCTTCAAATCCCTGCTAAGCAACGCAAAATCTGAGAGTTTGAAAGTTTTGGAACTTGACAACGGCCAGTTCATTCCCATGTAGCGGTGAGAGAATCATTGTTCATTGTTTAGTTCGGTCAGCATTTCTGCAGGTGATCCTCTAATTCGTGTTTCGAATCCGGTATTAGCGAGTGTGCGTTTGAGAGCTTGGTCTGCGTTTGAGAAAGACCAATCCCCACAACAAATAACCGACACGCATGAGGGGGGAGAGGAGAATGACTCGATGTTCGTGAGGATACACACGCATATCATCGTGAAAGATCTAAGATTGGATTAAGTACTCTTCTGGCACTCAATCAAACATCCTCGACCATGGCATATACATAACCTTCATCGAGTGTCAAAAAGTGGTAGGACAGGCTGTTGAAATTCAGACTACGACATGGTTCTGTTGATGGTTATCTGTACGTTTAGTCCCACTTATTTGCCACATGAAACGCAATGCATCTGTTAAGACTAACACAACAACTAGAACAGCACAACGTCCGAATATTGGAGGCAGAGTACTCACTAACAATACTGATGCTAGCGGGAGGCAGCATCAATGCGCTACGAACTAATCACTAAAATTCTAGGAGCACTAGAAGCAGCAGTCACAATCGAAGGGGCACAGCGCAGATCCACCCGCATTCTTCCTGTTAAACCCTAATTCTTCCTCACTGTACACAACAAACCCATCCTCTGTTCTCTTCCGCGACGCTGGAACCCCTGGCGTACTCTTTGCAGAAACTACTGGCTTCGCCGACTTCGGTTTCTTCGGCTTCACAAGCTCCCCCTTTGAATTCAGTCTCACAGCTTCGGAGTTATCCTTCTCTTTCTTCTTCGCCGCCACTTGCACCGCTTTGATATCATCACCCTCCACCTTCTTCCGCTTCTTCTGCCCAAAAATATCATCAATCTCGCTCTTGGCTTTCACCTTCGTCTCCACTCTCTCCTCCTTCTTCATCACCACTTCTGGCTGCACTTGCACCTCCGCGGCGTCCACCTCCATCGCAGTATCCCCAGCCTTCACGGCCTTTTTGCCTTTCTTGGTCCCCATGACCAACGAAACCCTTCGACAACAACTTGAGCGGGCCTCGTGGAATTGTGTAGCAGAAACCTCCGACCTCAATCGATTAGCTCCACCATCGTGGGCCGTCGGATCGCAGCTTCCGCTCAGATTCAATCTTAGCCGCCGATTCAATGTCTGGGAACGGAGGGTGGGAACGTAGGGGAACCAGAGGGGCGGGCAGGTTGGGAACGATTAACTTCATTGAGTGATGTTATGTACGACAAAATAAATAAATAAATAAATAAATCTTTGAAGCAAAAGTGATGGTTGAATTCCCAACAAGTGGTTTTCCCAAAATTTCATAATATAATCAAAAAGTATTTTTGCAAATCTATGCAACTTTAGAGAAGAGAGTTTATCTCTTGAGACAAGATTAGGACAAGGAGGCCAAATAAAAAAGAAACAAATAAATAGAGAGCATTGTGTGCTATGTTGTATATGATTGAGCAGATTTCACTTGGCAGTGGTGGTGGGAACAATGGCTATCAAAGGTACTTTTATCATTGTATCTTTCAACTTAGGATGTTAATAGGTTATTTGAGTTATTTCATTGTAATAACTATAAGCATGCATGCACTTCTATATATCATGTGTTAGTGAAAATAATGGCACTTGAATATTTTTACCTATATAGTATTTTTTTATTCTTTTTTAATCCCACACATTAATAATGCAGAATATTTTTAAAATCTAATACAAAGAAACAAGCATTAGTAATAAAAAATAATTGACATATGTGTTTGTTTTAGGATGGAAAAAACAATGGTTTTAGGACTAGTTACTCCCTTCCCCCCCCCCCCCCCCCCCCATATTTCCCTTGAGCTCTTCAGTGTTTTCAAGAATCCATGTAACAGCCATGATTAAATCTGGAGATCTGATGGTTAAGATGCCTCAAGCTAATTGATTGAGTTGAGAGATTTCTACAACATGTAGTGACGAGCCTTGTATCCCAACCACCCTCTTTTGAAAAAAATAATTTAAAATAAAATAAACCTATTTAATATCTTATACCAAAATAGTATTTTAAAAAAAAGCTTAATTAAATATTTTTTCTTAATTATTATGTTGAAATATAATAATAAAATTTTATAATTTTTTAATAAAATATGTATAAATTAACTATTTATTATAAAAATAAAATAAACTAAAATTTAGCCAATTAATATTTTATTTTTTTATATATATTTTTTACCAATGATATAATTTTGAAAATAAATTATAATAAAAATAAACTATATGAAATTATAAATATTATTTTTTAAATTATAATAGTTACAAAGGATTTTTGTTAAAAGACTTTAGAAGATATATTATATATAATTGAAGGATTTGGAATTTAGATGCAAATCCTTGAATAAACTTCACTATACTCTATATAGAATGTAATTCAACATAAGTCTAATGAAGAATGCAACCCAACTAAGGAAAAAAATTATTTCTTTAATAGAAATATTTATAAATTGAACTTGTAAATTATTTCCAACTTACTTGTTCTCCAACTTACATATTTTATTAGTTTTTTTACATTCCTATTATAGACATACATAATTATTTAGATAATATGATTTAGATAGGAAATAAAAGTAGAAAGATTTGATAATATCTTATAAAAAAACTTCTTTGAAACTTCATAGGCACAAATTTGACTTTATATGTGTTTGTAAGTGATTGATAGGTTGGAAATTTGGCCAACAAGATGGCCATGTGTATAGCATGGTATCTATAGACTTACAACAATCATGCCAATGTAATACAAAAGATTTGCTTCAAAGGAGAAGTAGTAGTTAAGTTAAGCATGCAAATATAAATTTACACAAAAAATAATTTCTTTCAACAAAACACCAAACTTGGAGGTACAGCCTTTGAAAATTGCCAATAAAGAGATGACTTTCTTTGGAATTGCCCTCACGTCTTATCTTCTTTTATTTAATAACTTCTAACATTGAGGTTGGATGGAGCCCACACTTTCCTCTTTAGAGGCAATAAGGACACTTGTGATTCTACCACAATATAGGCAAGCTTCTACTTGGCTTGCTTTTCAAGTAGATCAACTCATATATTTATAATATCAAAGATAAGAACTATATAAATGTAAATAAAAAAAAAGATATTTTTTTAAAAGAAGAAGATCAAAAAATATATTGAAAAGAAACTGCAAAGATTATTGTTAAAAAACAAAAAAACTAGAAATACTTGAAACTAGACTAGAAACAAAAAAGAAGTTGACAAGAGTGAAAAAGACCTTACTCTTACCTCTATATATACTATTTAACTAAAAACTATATAGCAATATTCTATAGGACCTCTAATACATGACAAATTTACAAAATACATGTTTAATTTGCAAGATAAGTTTTCTTTATGTGCAACATATGTCCAATTTGTACTACAAGTCATCAATATGTAAAACACGTAGCCAACTTATTGACCAAGTTTTCAACTTACCAATTACCTATAGATATAAATTAAGGTGAAACTGCATCTATAAAGCTTTTAAAAAGCTTCTCTATAAGATATTATCAAATTTATCTATTTTTACTTATTTCTATATATTTATATTATCTAGATAATTATTAGAATAAATATGGATGTCTATAACATGTGATAAATTTTTAGAAAGATAGAAAATAATGTAGATCTCTTTCATTCTATAAGAATTAAGGAAACTAAAATCATCAACAAAAATCTATTGTTAAAATATTGTAAGGTAGAATAAACTCCTATTAATTGGTGGTTAATTCTAATTCACTCAAGAACTTAATTTAACTTATAATAATAATTACTTGCATTATATTTTAATATTCAACTATATTAATTCTATTATTTCTTTTTTTTATTTGATTAAAACAAAACTTAATAAAATTTATCCATATAAAATTTTTAATTATTTAATTATTTTTATTTATATATAAAAATTTATCTATCAATAATAATTTATCATTGAATAATATTTTATCATTGAATAATATTTCATTCCTTAATAAATTTTTCATCTAATAGAAATTCATCTAAATTTTAATTTAATTACATTCAACTTATTTTCATTCAATTTTATTTTAATTATTTTGAAAATTTTACCAAATAGAAGTAAATGAATAGGCAATTATAATTGTTATTTTTGCTACAAGTTTCAATACCAATCTAAAAACTATGCAATGACGTCCTAAGGCCTTCTAACAAGAAATAACTAATAATTGGAATTTGAACTTAATAAATCTTAGAATAAAGTATTGGATATAAAGTTACTCTTATTAATTTTTTCTAGTCTATTGTAGCTTTGATTTAGGCAAAAGCTTTTATAAAATTTTAAATATCTTTATTTTATTTATATGCCTCTTTTATTCTTTTTTTAAGAAAAAACTCATCAATTTATATTATGATTTTTAAATTTATGATAATATAGAGATTTTATTTTATTTTTATTTATTTATTTTAAATTCAAAGCATCTAATATAAGATTATTTTTTTTGGTTTTGGATATATCAACTCTATATTCAATAAAATAACATCATATTATTATAATTCTTTGAAAAAGGCTTCAACTTTTGAAGTGAATTATTTTTAAGAGATATTATATATAAAGAATTTTATCTTCTAACTTTCTAAATAGTTCTTTTATACGTTAAAGTAATGAAAAATAATAAATAACTTTATTTTTTTATTTTTTTTATATATTAGCATCTTTAATTGGATTGTATTTAATTTCTTATTTTTAAAAGCTATTGATTTATATTCTCACATTAAGTTTTTTTTTTTTTTTTTTTTTTTTTTTTTTTTTTTTTTTTGTTTTTTTTGCAAAGTCACTTATATTTATATAAACCTCAAATTTTCTATTAAATTTGGGAAAAAATAAGATACTAAAGGAGACTAAATTTCATGGATATATACATAGGTATTTTAATAAATATCTATATGATTAAGTAGAAGTAAAGAAAAGTAAATAAAAGTAAATTAATTTCATAATATCTTCTAAGTAAGCTTCTAAGAAGCTTCATAGATGCTACTTTGACTTTACATGTATTTGTAGTTGATTGGTGGATTAGAAACTTGATCAACAAGTTAACCACATATTGATAGCTTGGATAACACGCAAATTATGTGGCACATATATAAAAAACTTACCTTATAAGTTAAGATATGTGTTTTGTAAAGTCAACATGTTTTGGAGGTTCTATAGGACATCGCCACATAGCTCCTAGTTACAAGTATATATGGAGGTAAGAATGAAGCCTTCTTCACTCTCGTCAACACCTTTCTAGTCTTTATTCTTATTTCAAGACTTTCTAGTCTTCTTATTTTTGGCAATAGCCATTTTAGTTTAATATTATATCATCTTTGAGTGATTTTATAGTTCTTTTTAATAACACAAGAGTATATTGAGGATTTTCTTTCTTCTAGATTAATGTCTTTGATAGTTTGATAAGAGTGCTAACTTACTATTTCAATCTTATTTTAGAATTGAATGGATTATCCCACTTCTATTATTATATTTTGATGTTTACAGACAATCCACCTTTAAACTAAAAATCTTATTTTTTAATATTAATCTTTTCTTAAAAGAGAGTAGATTATCTCTCTTTGTAAAAAATTTCATTTGATATTAGAGGTTGTAAATTACCTTCTTCTAATTTAACTTTTTGAATTTATTTGAGTAGTCTATGGAAGCAAAGATTATAGATGCTACTCCTAGTGGAAGTGAAAATAGATTTGTAATTATTACAGATCTTTATGAGCTTGTTAATACTCTAAGAGTGGAAATCTCATATATTTCTATGGTGTAATAATGGAGGTACTATGCCTACGCTCATGGAAGAAGTTCAAAATCTGTGGGAAGAAGTTGTGCAATTAAAAGAAGCAAGTAGATTAACCTCACAACCAAATCCAAGAAGTTTTGCTTCTATAATTATGATAGAAATAAGGATTAATATGCCTAAGAAGTTTGATGGAACAAGATCAAAATTTTGAGGACTTCTGCAATAAGTCAAGCTCTATCTAAGGTTGCATCCCTTCCAATATTCCAATGGATTTATT